ATGGTTCAACATACAAAAATCTATAAATGTAATTCACCATATAAACAAACTGAAAAAAAACACATGATCATCTCGTGTAGATACTGAAAAAGCCTTTGACAAAATACAACATCGCTTTATGATAAAGATCTTAGAGAGAGCAGGGATACAAGGAACATACTTAAACATAATAAAGGCAATATACAGCAAGCTATCAGCCAACAGTCAAACTCAGAGAAACTCAGAGCGATTCCACTGAAATCAGGAACAAGACAAGGCTGTCCACTCTCTCCTTATCTATTCAATATAGTTCTTGAGGTCCTAGCTAGAGCAATAAGACAACAAAAGAAGATCAAGGGGATACAAATCAGAATAGAAGTCAAACTTTCACTATTTGCTGATATGATAGTTTACATAAGTGACCCCAAAAGTTCTACCAAGGAACTTCTACAACTCAAACACCTTCAATAATGTAGGATATAAGATTAACTAAAAAAAATCACTATCCCTCCTTTATACAGATGATAAATGGACAGAGAAAGAAATCAGAGAAACATCACCCTTCACAAATAGCCACAAACAACATAAAATATCTTGAAGTAACTCTAACCAAACAAGGGGAAGACCTGTATGATAAGAACTTTAAATCTTTGAAGAAAAAAAATTGAAGAAGACATCAGAAAGTTGAAAGTTCTCCCATGCTCTTGGGTAGGTAGAATTAACATAGCAAAAATGTCAATCTTACCAAAAGCAATCTACGGATTCAATGCAATGCCCATCAAAATCCCAGCAAAACTCTTCATAGACCTCAAAAACAAACAAACAAACAAACAAACAAAAACAAACCACTCAACTTCATATGGAAAGGCAAAAACCCAGGATAGCCAAAACAATCCTGTACAACAAGAAAGAACATCTGGAGGCATCACAATCCCTGACTTCAAACTCTACTACAGAGCTACAGTACTGAAATCAGTTAATAATTAAAGGAAATTATACTATTGACATAAAAACAGGAGGACCAATGGAACCAAATCGAAGACCCAGATATCAAACCATACAGCTACAAATACCCGATTTTTTACAAAGAAGCAAAAATATATAAAATGTAAAAAAAAGAAAGCATATTCAATAAATGGTGATGGCATAACTGGATATCAACATGTAGGAGGATGAAAACAGACCCATATCTATCATCACACACGAAACTGAATTCCAAATGGATCAAAGACCTCAACATAAAGCCAGCCACACTGAACCTATAGAAGAGAAAGTGGGAAGTACACTTGAATGCATTGGCACAGGAGACCACTTCCTAAATATAACCCCGGCAGCACAGACACTGAGAGAATCAGTTAATAAATGGGACCTCCTGAAACTGAGAAGCTTGGTGTGCCTCTCAGTGAGGTCTCTTTGAACTGCTTGAATTCTTCATCACTTCATAGCCTCCCTGTGACCTACACATAAACATAGCAGACATTTACTGTGTGATGTGTAATCTGTAGATTGAGAATATTTGTAATTAAGACTGGAATAAGGGCTGAAAAGATGATTCATCTGTTAGAAACACAGGATCTTTGCAGAGGAGCTGAGTTATGTTGCCAGCGACTGTGTCAGATGGCTCTCAACAGCCAGTAACTCCCCTGGGGGACCTGATACAACCTTGGGGACATCAGCATTCACACGCCCAAACTCCTACACAGACACATAATTTATATATATAAATAGGTTGGAATAAGATAACTTGTTTTTTCCAAAGGTTAGTTATTAAAGGAAAACTGAATTGCTTGTCAAACTGTAACCAACAAAACAAATCGTTTGTGAATTGCTAGTCAATGAAATCTGACAGCGTGGATACAAACACATCTGTCGGCGTTAGAATCCCAGACCAGATGCTGCTCAAGTTATGCCCACCTGTGGACCTCTCTCCATCCTCATAGCTGATCACTGCTGCAGGAGAGACAGACACCCAAGGAAGGATCTGTCCGTGGTTTGTAAACATGCGCCTCCAGTGTCATCTCCAGAGATGGCGAGCACCCTTCTTTCCAACGAAGTTGACAGGTTTTCAGACTTCGCGGTACACCAGAAAGTTCCCTGTGCCCACACATCCTACACCTATTTCCCCCAGCCACTCAAGAGTCGGGGACAACCTAGTTTTAGGCTTGTGCCAGAAAACTTCCCCCCTTTCCTATGATATCTGTAAGAAGGGACCCTGGCCACAGTGACTCTGCTCGGAGTCCCTATCCATGCTATCTGCCTATGGTAATTGGGGCCTGGATGTTCCTGAGAGCCCCTCTAGTCTATAGTCCACGGAGCTAATTCTAACAAACTTCTTGCCTAAAAGAATATTCTGTCAGTGTCCCCCTTGGGTCCCCAACCCGAGACCTTTCCCTGTGTACCTGATATAGCGAGCTCATGACAAATGTGAGTCCAGAGGAACCTCTTTCCTCCCTGGAGGACAGTGCCACCTAGAGTCTCAGCTGCTGGGTCCCATACCTGCTCCGTGCATGCTTAGTGCACGCTCTTCAGCCAGCAGGGGACCGTGGACCAGGGAACGACCTGGTGTCTCTTGACCCCCAAGTGACGCCCCTGCGTAATCACCTTGCTCATTGTGTCCATCATTGTCAATGGATGCTGGGCCTATGACACCAATTGCAACCCGGACAGCAGGACGCTTCACCAAGGTGCTTCCCAGTCAGAGGCACGAGTGGTTCTGAAGTCAGGGATGTCAGAGCTGCAGGTTGGTGGTAGGGGGTTGCATTTTTCAAGGTCAGCTGTGAGAGACACTCCTCAAAATCTGGAATGGGAATGACTTTCTCCCAATCACTTAGGAAACCACGAGCCCTAACAAGCTGATGCTGAGTCAGGCTAACAGGAGAGCCCACAAGGTCGTGCCCCTCAGGCCTGGCAGGGACACTGCCTGCTGGGGCTCTGGCCTCCTCCAACTCCTGTCTTTTCCAGGTCTATCCAGTGTGCCAGATCCCCTGCCGGTTCCTGGAATCTGCGACTGCTCACACCTCAGGCAGCAAACTTGGCAGCAAACTCAGGAGGATGTCACTGGGTTCCTTGCCAGCCAGTCCTCAGAGGACCTGAGTGGGAGGCGGCTTAGGCAGGCCTGTAGATAGGGAAGCTCAGGGAGGGCTGCAGGCAAGTCTCAGCATGCCTGGGCCTGCCTCACAACCTGGTTCTGCAGAGCTGCTGACTGGGGACTTTCCCTGTGGTTCCAGTTCCACTCCCTCCCAGTAACAGAGGCGGGTTTGCAGGGACTTCGCTCCGAAGGGGCCTAGATGCCAGGGGTGGGGTGGAAAGCTGGAAGGTGGAAGGCTTAGTTTACTGAGTTGGACTGACCAAGGACACGGAGCCGTCTTGTGTTGGGGGAGCTGATTTCACCCTTGAGCACTTGGTGCTTACCCAGCGGCTTAAGGCTTCTTATTCACGCTACCCAGCCCTTGGGCTATGCTGAGGCTGAGCTCTTTGCTCTCAGTCTAGGTGAGGGCACAGACAAGAATCTGATGGCCATGACGTCACTCCTAGAAAATGAATGGAGGAGGAGAAGGGAACTCCTTGGGGAACACAGCTCTTGGATCGGAAAGGGCACTACTTGGGTGGGCTAGGGCCCTTCGGGAGACAAGGGTCCTTGGCCATAGGATAGATGCCCTTGGAGAATGAAGTCTTTCCCATCATGGGCACTGAAAGTAGGGGTAGGTAGGTCCTTCCACAGGGCTGGATGGGTGATGAGCGGGACCAGAGCAGGAAGAGAGGTCAGCAGCTTGGAGGAAGGGATGGAGGAAGCCCGTGGGTAGCCCATGGGGATGTGTGCTCCACCCCAGTGCTGCTCAGTCTCTGGACTCTGCCTCAGCTTCCTGACTGCTCCCTGGACCTCAGTTTCCCCATCTGTACAGCAAGGCTCATCCTTTGAGATGCCTTAAAAGGTGTGTCAGAACCAAACAAAATGGCTGAAACCAGCAGGGGCTCCTTCACCGAGACAGCCTCCAGCCTCCCTCACCCTTCCAGAATGTTTGTTCACCCCTGGGGAGGGTCCTAAACCACAGATCACTTCTGCCAGCCGTGTTCACAATGCGGGAGCTCTGAAAATGCGCCCCAAAGATAAGCTTACACGGGAAAGACGCCAAGAATATTGTCAGAATTCAGACCATACTGGGGCTCACACTCCCCACTCAGAAGCTGTTTGGTGAATCTCTAACCCCCTAACCCCAGGAGCATGGCAGGCGCCAAGGAAGCTCACAGGTCGCTGTACTCCAGGACATTAACCGGACTATAATCATCATATCCCCTCGCATCCTTGAATCTCTGCTCTCCCCTGGCAATGCACAACCCTCCTCCACTGCCCCAGCTTCTCACTGGGGAATCAGAGGCAGCCTGACTACATAGAACCTCCCCATGCCACTGGTACCTGTAAGAGGGGACGCACCCCCATTCTGTCTCACGGACTTGGTTGCCTATTAGCGACTCTAGCATGCCTTCCTGACTAAGTATGACATTTGGGCGGAGCTCCTTTCAGGGCACTCAACTGCGCTGTGGTCCCTGTCTGCACACGCACCAACTTCTTACCGCAAAGGACAGTGTGCCTCAGTGTCCCGAGGACTCTTTCAGATATGAGCCTGAATTCCCTTCAGACCCCACAGACCATCCCTGAGTCACTACTTCCTCTGGTCCTCCCCATCCCATCTGGGGCTCTACGTTCTACACACATACCAGGCTGCTCTCAGTTATGACTCCAATAGGATCCTGCTCTGGGAAGGAGGCTGATGACTCCCCTACCCTGTCCCCATGTCTCCTAGTGACCATGACAACTCCAGAAGCACACTATGGGATCAAGCCTCTGCCACGCACACACACACGCACACACACACGCACACACACACACACACACACACACACACACACACACGCCTGGTGAGTCCAGGTACTCAGGGCCTCAGAAGCACAAGTTTGAGGAAATGTTTCCGCTTTGTTTTGTGTGGGGGAAGGGGGAGACACATGAGAAGGAGATTGGGGAGTTCATATCCCCAAGTACCTTAGAGAACCAGGCTTCCAGGTAAAGGTACTAAGGAAGGCTGTGGCCCAGGACCTGGGGGTGCAAGGATATGGGTGCAGGGAGGGTCAGTTCAGAGGTAACCTTGGTCCCTCTCCTCTCCAGCTGCAGCCTGGAGGTTGCCTGTGTACGCCATTGTAACTCCAGCGAAGCCTTCCTGTTGTGCTGTTTCCTTTCGTGAGCATTTAGCTGGAGCTTAAGTTCTGGGAGAGCGATGAGGCGGCCAGCCCATTGAATAGCTGGTTCCTAGGACTGAAAGCAAAGATGATTGGAAAACTTGAGTCACTAGGGGGCGCCATCAGACAGGCTAAAGTCCTGGTCCTGGTGGCAGAGATATTGTCTGCCCAGCTACAAGCAGGACCCATGGGGGTATGGGCTTGGGGGTTAGGGTTAGGACCCATGGGGACATGGACTTGGTCCATTTGATGCCCTGTCTCGGTACTGAGTAGCACCTGAAAACAGTCACCAGTGACATGCCTGTTATATATTACAAGAGAGGAAACCTCAGGTGCAGCGTGACCCCAATGTGCAGCACAGTCTGCCCCTGACCTGAGTAAGGCTCATGTGCCCTCCCTCTGCGGGCACCACCTGCCAGAAGGTAATGAGTTCACTCACTCTCTACCTTACCTGTAATTGGCCTTGGGTTGAAGGAGGGTCCCTGCGTTGGGTCTCCGTTGGCTGCTGTCACTCTGGCCCTGCCCATGGAGGGAGGATCATGAAGCTGTTCCAGGCCCAGACTGTCTTCCCTTAGTCCCCAGAGAGCTCTACTAGTGGCTGAGTCAGAGGGGTCCTGTCCTGAGACGACTGGAGGTTCTAATAAAGCCAAGGCGGTGTCAGTGCCTGGCTGGGAAGATGGGGCCCAAAGAGGATGGGATCCTTGGGGGTCTGAGTCACTGGGGGCTCCTGGTAACTTCCAGGCGGTGGGAGGTGGAACCCTAGAAGCTAGGCTGTCGACTTTCCCTGAATTCCAACATCACTTGGATCTGAGGAGCCAGTGGCTGTGTTGGATCGTAACAGTAGGTGTCCTCCAACAGCCTCTGGCCACCTGAAGCAGCAACAAGAAAGACCCCGTGGTTCAGTGTCTTTGCCAATCATGGACCCGGGGACAGAATGCAGGCACCTCTTAGCTCTCAAGTGCCAGGCCTGTTTCATCTTCCCAGTGAAACTGGCTGCTGCCAGCTGCTGCCCAAGCGGAACTGACCTCCTGCCCCAACGCTGAGCCCTCAGCACACAGGTGACCACCTGCTTCTTGTCCTGCCAGGACCTCTTTTCTGAAGGGATAAGTGAGGCTAAGCAGCCATACGGCTCCAAGTCCAAAGACAGACTGGTGCAGAGGCAGGGAAGGGAGACTCAGGTCTCAGGCATGTAGGAATGCTCAGAACCAAGGCTCAAAGTGTTTCTTGAGCCTTCAAAATATGAATTCAAATACGATTTCATCCATCTCTGGACCTAGCAGATGCTGTGACCCTCAACAAAGACACACAGAGGGAACAACATCACTGAGACTTAAGCAAAGGTTCTCCTACCCAGAGGCCTGGCCTTGTCCAGACACAGCAACAGAGGATGGACAGGTGGACAGACCCATGTTGATGCCTGCTCTATGGCAAGAGTCCAGGAGTTATGGCTGAGGACTCCTATTCCACCCTGGCAAGGTGCCGGCCAGCTGTTTGTCCTCCCGTGTCTCTGAGTACCTTTCTAGAGTACCTTCTGGTGGCAGCTGGAGAACGGGACCGGCTCAAAACCGCACGGCAGGCCCAAAGGGTTGCCTCGGTTTACCATATAGACCCAGTCAGAGGAGCATCAGGCCCATTTGTTCCCAATGAGTAATGATACTGGGAAGGCTTGCCCTTCCAGCTAGGGGTCTGGGTGGAAACTGATGGGTGGGCCTTCCTCCCCTCTCCACAGGGACAATGGCCTCCCTGGAAAGGCAATTCCTCACTCTTGCTCTGAGAGATTACACTAACCTTCTATGGCTAAAGAACCCCAATTCTTATCTGTACTCCATGTGTCCCCAAGGGAAGCAGCAGAGACACAGACATGTTACATATCTGTGGCACGTGGCCTCTGGGCTTTGACTTCCTAGTGGCTCATCACATATGTCACATCATGCCTATGTGTACATAAGCATGGTCACGGAACATGTCTACATCTGACCTTGCGCATTTGTACTGTGGAAGGGACCATGTGTAACCGCAAATGTGAATATGTGTGCAGTGTGCAGATTACATGTGACTGTCTGAGTGTGGACACGTGTGGTATGTGTATGAGGAGCTGAGGAACATGGCCCTGCACACTCATGAGTGTGTACACGAGTATCCTATGTACATATAAACATACCTGTGTGAATGTCGAGCATGTGAGAGTGCTCTGTGGGGGACTCTGGTGGCACATGTCTGGTGAGAGGGGGGCTGGACCCCCTCTTGGGATGAGGAAGAGGCCCATGAGTGGCAGCTGTTGTACTATGTCAGTTTGCTCTCCTTTGACCGGCTGAGCAAGGTGGAAGGTGTCCATATATTATCTTCCTTCTGTTCTCACGTGGCTGGCCTGGCAGGAACCTGTGTATCAGCCCTGATCACTCTCCCAAAAAAGTTCAGACTCCTTGTCTTCAGATCAAAATGTCTAGACCGTCCAGAGGCCCTGGTACCCTGGTGCCTATCACATGGGACTGTGGCTGTGGTAGTCGCTGAGAAAGAAGCTGGCTCTAGCATCGGGTTGGGACGCCCTGACTCAACTTGCCTGGACTGAGGGTTTGTTCCTCGAGCATTAGACAGCTTCTCTGCTATCCTTGCACATTTAACGTGTATTTCTAGTGAAGTTGACTTCCAACACTTGGTGAAGGACCATCTCTCTGCTGGTCTGGAAGCACATGGCCACAGTCAGACCTAAAGATAGGAGTTCTCATGCTGTGGGTCATATGGTAATACTGGGGTTCTTGTTTCTCCAGCAGCAACAAGGTGAACCAGGCTCCTGGGCATCCCTGACCTTACCCTGCAGGGACCTTGGCACCCACCGTGCCTTCTCCTGAGCACCATGTTCCATGATGTATTTGGGCCCACAGCTGCTTCTAGATGTTTCCAGCACCTGCAGGGTAAAGGCCTAGGGCATGCCAGTATCATCCACTATTATTGGCAGGTGCCTATGGAAGACATAGCCACTTTCCTATCTCTGTCCACATCCCATGGAAGAAGAACATAATCCACAAACATCCTCTTGTCTCTGGTGGCCAGGGTGCACACCTAGGTCGTGTTCATGCCCCCTCCCTGAGCATTCTCAGGCCTAAGTGTACTAGGGGGTCTCTACATCACTGTTCTCTCAGCTGTGGCTAACCTTGCAAGATGGAAATGGAGTCCCCAGGGAACTGGTCAGAGGGGCCCTGGAGTGAGCACACCACCCCTGGGCTCCTAGCTGCTCAGACCCTTCCCTGCCCTCCAGGTCTTGACTACCTTTTCCAAACCACTGGCAGTGTCCCTCGCCTTCTTCTTCGTGGAATATGGGATGCAGCACACCCAGCTGGTCCTTGTCCTGAGGCCAAGAACATGAGGGAGTAAGGAGGCCCTCTCTCCCCCGTCACGCACCAATCTCCTGGATGGCAGCTTCCACTCCACACACTCTCAAACCCCACTGCTCCCACTCCACAAAGCCCAGGGAAGCAGGGCACACCCCCAGCAAGCTACATCTCAATTCCAGAGTTCGTTGCTTATCTTTGTCCTTCGGGCACCCAAGCCTCTTATTTTCTGTCTAGAGGGACTCTTAAAATACACCCTCCAGGTAGCAAGGTGGAGGTGGAGAAAGGTAACCTCCAAGTATGTTCCTCTCATAGGAGGCGGTGGTTCCCACCATGTGTATCATAGGCGGTGGCAGTTCATACATGTGGTGAAGGTAATCACCCAGCTCATGATCAAAGCTGCCCAACTGGGCAGCAAAGGATTGTCAGTGCATAGTTGGCCCATCTTACTGAGGGATCCTGGGCATAAAATTGGAAATTAAAGAGGTGAGGGGTGCAGATGGGTGTCACGGCTCCTGCCTGCCCAGGTTACGTTACAGAACCCTCGTTCCTGCCAAGTGACTGCCAGCACTCAGGGTTACTCGGACACATACCCTACCTAGGGTGGTGAGCATTAGGGATTGGAACCCAGACAACAGACTCAACTGTCTCTCAAGCTAAAGTGTAAAGTCAACCCTTTGCCTGTGGTTAAATCCATCCCATAATCAATTGACTTACGCTTGGCTTAGGGGATGGAGGAAAGGCAGAAGGTACAGTGCTGTCACCATAAAGTCTGTGGTAGGAATGTCACCCTGATAAGCAGCCCCATCTAAGTTATCCCTTAAGCAATACTCACTCATCCTCTGACAAGTCCCCTGTGTCCATCGGGGGCCTCTTCTCTTCCCTCAAGGCACAGGTGATTACCTATGGGAGATGGCAGGACAACCTATGGGATCCACCCAAGGAACAGATAGGAACAGAGAAAGCCAGTCCACTATGGTTCCGAATGTCCTCCTTCCAGACAGTACTCTGTTGAGTGGGAATGCCCAGCTGAGGACTCCGGCTCCTTGTGTGAACCTCCCTGACTCCTGGGCTACAGGTGGAGAGAACTGGTCCCTTGGTCTACTTCTGCTATTACCTGACCTTTCCGGAGTCCTTAGAACTCAGGGCCCCATGAGTGGCCTCATAGAGACACAGTGTGATTCAGAAGCTAAAGGTATAGACAGGTGTAATCGGGAAAGTAGCCAACCTTCAGGTACTCCTTAAATTTGTCAACTGAGAACTTCAGAAGTCATCCAAAAAGACATCTGCTCATTACAGCAGGGACTTGGAGGGAGACTCCAAATAATTATGTTGATGAGCCACTGAGAAAATCTCATCATTTTATGGATAATGATGATGGTGATGTAACGATGATGTTTATTGTGACCATGACGGTGATTATGTGATGGGGATATTGATAATGATGGCCGTGATACTAGCGCTGCTGATGGTGGTGATGGTGATGATGACCGTAACGGTGCGGTCAACAGTGGTGTGATGGTGACAAGGATGTCATGGGTGAAAATACAACGGGTGATAGCGGTAGTAACAGCCATGGTTGTCAGAGTAGTGATAATGTTGAGGGTCGTGATGGCAGTGATACCCGTGGTGACGAGGGTGGTGGTACTGTCGGAGATGATGATAACCGTGTGGTGATAGTAGTGGTGATATTGGTAATACCTCATACCAAGGCCACAGCCTGGAGATGTAGGTATACGCTTTCCAGTCCATGGTGGAACAAGTCAAGCACAAGAGGAGGTTCATGAGCATTTTGAGCAGTTACTGATAAAGCCATGTATCTCTTGTTCTTTCAGCCTCTTTCCGAGATTCCCTTAGAAGCTCTGGGTACCCAAGGATCCACGTTGGTGCAAAAGGAGGGAAAGCAAGAGCGAGAGCGAGTGAGCGAGAGAGAGAGAGAGAGAGAGAGAGAGAGAGAGAGAGAGAGAGAGGACACAGGTGTTTTTCTTCTACTCCCAATCAGCCCTCATCACTAGCACCATGGAGGTTTCCTGGAACTTCTGGTCTTGGGTCTCTGCCTCACCCCTCACCCTTCATGTGTCTGTTATGCATCCCCCCACACACACACAGTATGGATGCTCTCCTAGTGAGGAGTTTGGGTTTCTGGTCTGGAGGGTTTTGCTGTACCTCCTCCTCAGTATGGTCTCCAAGGTCGATCTCCACAAACACAGATGGTTTCTACGGATGGAAACAACAATTTATGAGAGCGCTTGGAAGGAGCTTCAAGGTTCTGCCTTGTAGACCTGTAGGTCTGGATGGCCCCACCAGATGCTGGTGATGACTGGGGGCCCCTGTGAAGCTTGGAGGACCATGGCAGCACAGAGAGCAGGGGCCAGAAGGCAAGCTCTGGGCAGATGAGGAGGAGTGTGACCTTCTGAACCGTTTCTACTCAGTGGAAACAGGTTCTTGAGATTCTGAGAGTTTCTCTATCCTTCAGGTGACAAGGCCACTGTGGGGTCCTGGGGATCCCTCCCCAGCCCTGGTCTACAGGAGCACATGGCTCACCTCCATACACTTACCTAGAGCCATGCTTCACTGAGATGAGATCTACTCTCTAAGGTGGGCTAGCTCAGGTGGGCCAACTCAGTCTCTGTTTGACACTTTGGCTGGCCCAGAAACTTGCCAAGGACTATCTGCTGTGAAGTCTTGGTGAAAAAGGTGTCCCACTAGCCCTGTTCCCCATAACATGGTCTGGGAAGAAGGACAAAGCTACCTTCCTTCATGAAGGTCACCGTGAAATTCCTAATTCAGTATGGTGCTTGCACAGATGTATCTCAGAGACCAAGGTCAGGTGTGCCTTTGGTCAGCACCCCTGGGTGAGATGCTCTGGGCGGGGTATTATTATTCTGGGTGAAGTTCAATCGGAAGGGGAAATCTCAAGATCCACACCTTTAGTGACTTCATTGTTTGGCAAGCTAAGGCAGGATGCTGCAGGTTCAGGCAAAGAGGCCCAGGGCTTGACCCCTGAACCAATTTCTAGCCCGGCCAGACAGAAGAGCACCTGCTCAGATGGTTTTAAGGACTTCAAGTCTATGGTGTGCGCAGAGCCCACCGGGAGTTGCATACGGACAGATTTGCTCATTTCAACGCCTGTGACTCAAGTAAGAAGTGCTTGCCTGTTTTTCTAGAAGGTTATTCAGCTTCACGGACTCTGGCTCCTGCAAATCAAAGAAGACACCAACAGGTGAGTACAGGGGAGGCCGTGCAGGAGGCCAGAGTGCACAGAGCCGCCCGAGGCCAGCCTGACCTCGGCCACTGAGGTGCGTCTTCCTTTGTGGGCACCATCCTTTTCTGAGGTGCTGGCCTCTGAGTCGCTCTTCTCTGGCTCCGACTTCCCATACTTTTGGTCCAGCGTTCTGGGCTCATCCTGGTTCCTTTTCTTCCTGTCTTCCTCTAGGTTCACCTGACTGGAGATAAGTCAGTAGGTTAGGCATCGAAAAAGCAGTTTGGAGTAAGTGTTACAGGAATCCGTTGCTGTCTTTCCGTATGCTCCCCCAATGCTAGGGGCACGGTAAGCCTGTGTGCCCTTTTGGAGACAAAAAGCAAGGCTCTCCTATGTCCCCTAACAACTCATCTTGTCTGGAGACACCAGCTCCACTCCCTCCAGGCTTATGGGGAATGATGGTAGCTAGTTCTGCCAACCAATGGTGCCTCCAGAGACTTTCGACGCCAACATCCCTCCCCGCTCACTGTTTTCTGGTCTAGCACCTTCCACCGGTGCTGGTTCATGGGAAGCCCTCTGCAAACAGGCAGCCTGGCTTGTGCTTGATCAACAGCGAATAGACTTTGGGATCTGAGAAAATTCCTTGGGTTCAATGACTTTGAAGCCCCCATGGAAGGCAGGATGGTAGGCAGCACAGAGATGGCTCTGTGTTAGGTGGCCAAGCAACCTGTTCTATTTGTCCAATTGTGAGATTGGTTATACAGCTTCCCTATTCAGAAAGCCACCTTAATGGACCCAGTGGACAAGAGACAGGGTGGAGTTTCCTTTCTAGAAGAGGCACATGGAGATACTCGTTGAGATACTTCCTCCAAGTTGGCTGGACCAGGCAGAAGGGCTGCCTAGGAAGTGAGCAGGGCCGTCTGCACTTCTGAGACACATGATGGTGGGTTCTGGTTTTACAGGTCCCTTAGATAAAGGTCCTCAACCATCTCAACCAACACCCCCTGAAAGGAGTCTTCCCAAGTCCTGACCCAGAGGGAGGGCTCCATCCCTGCTCCCCACTACCCCAATCCTCCCATTTCAGAAGAGAGTGCCTTCCACTTACCAGGAGGTATCATCTGTGTCACTTCTTGGGTCTTTACCTTGGTCCTCAGAGTCTGAGGAGCAAGGGAAGTTAGTTAGCATCCCAAGGTATGATGGCTCCCGCACCCAGGCCTTCCCACAGTTCATCACCTCATGGTTCACTGTCCTGCCTAGCACTCCTCAGGGCAGGCCCCAGGCCAGCTTGAGAGTGAACAGCCATGGCTAAAGAGAATTCTTTCCACATCTATTTCTTTGGCCATCCTCACAGCACACTTGCATTTTCTTCCTAATCCAGCACCTTCCACGCCTGGGCTAGAGCTTTGAGCCTGCTTCATGTGTAGTTGTGAAAGCCCAATCCTTACTCTATTCTTCTTCTGTGACCCAGGCTTGGCATCCATGGCCTCCTGGAACACACTCACAGGTCCCCAAATCTTCCTCATCCCAACACTAATTACGGGAATGACAGAACAGGGACCTCACAAGATGGTGACTTGCTCTAGACGGGGTGACTTGTCTGGAAACATCCTGGCTACTGATGCCTCCTAGCTCTGAGGGCCATCACTGGGTTGATCTTAATTATCCTCTGTCCCAAGGGACAGGAGGTGCCTTGAATGTATTCAAGACTGAGGGGACCCTAACAAGTAGCCATAAAACATGAATTCCCTAGCTTCAGGGCAGTGACTGTAGAGAACTGTGCCAAGGGATCCTGGGAGCACTACTTGGTCTGTGAGCCCCCCCCCCACCCCGACACGGCATACTTCTTACGCATGTAACTTCCTCCCCACAGCTTTCAGGGATCTGGCAGTTCATCTAACAGGAAGGGCCATGAACAGATGACTCCACTGAGGCCCCAGTGTTGTCGTCGGGGCCAGACCTCAGCATGGATGGCTGGTACTATCTGATCCCCACAGTGGCTTTGGGATTCAGACAGAAACCCCAAAATGTTAAAGAAGAGTTCTGGTAAAAACCCAAGCCCAGAGACTGGTCTGGGGGCTGCCGTGTTCTGGATGGTGCCCTAACAGAACTGGCAAGCCCTTTCCTTGGGTTTATCATCCAGGCTAGCTGATGCCAGTGGAGGAGACACTTCCTCATCAGCCAGTTCTCTCCTCTTCCCATTCACTCCAGTCCTCCATTCCAGTGCTGCCCTTCAGAGAGATGCTAGGTGCTTCTAAGCTGCCTCCTTCCTATAAGGGAGCCTGTCCCCTCCTGTGTTCAGCACATCTGCCCTTGGCCTGTGCCACATGGCCCCTTTCTCAGGAGACCTCATACCTGTCCCTCTGTTGCCTGCAGTGGGGGACTCAGACTTGTGGGCATCTGTGGTTAGAAGCTGACTGCCCAACAGAGAGAAGCAGGAGACTGAGGCCTTTTTGCGCTCTCTCTCTCTCTCTCTCTTTCTCTCTCTCTCTCTCTCTCTCTCGTGTGTGTGTTAAACAGCTTTGCACAATAGCTCAAACCAACGGGTCAGAATGACAAGAGGAGGAGAACTCGTTGGAAGGCCTCCTGGTGACTTAAAGGTGACTGGAAGGGCTGGAGAAATGCTGTTAAAAGCACTGGCTGCTCTTCTAGAGGTCCAGGGTTCAGTTCCCAGCACTCATGTGGGGCTCAGAACTCTAATTCCAATCCTAGGGGACCCAACACTCTCTTCTGTTCTCCACAGCACTGCATGTACACAGCACACAGGCATACATGCTGACAAGGCACCCACACATACAAAGATCTGTCAGCCCCACCTAAGCACACATGGAAACATGTCAGCCCCACCCGAGCACACATGGATACATGTCAGTCCCACCTGTGCACACATGGAAACATGTCAGCCCCACCTGAGCACACGTGGATACGTGCACCTATGATTTAGAAGATGCTAACTATTAGGAGAACCTTCTAGTCCTGCTCCTGCCTGTGAAGTGGACTTAGCAAAGAGCAGTCAAGAGAAAGGTAGGATTTCCATCGCTTGGTGAAGTTCTGCAGTTAGAAGTCAGTGACTTCTCCTTACGGGAATATGCCTTGCACATTGGTGTGCAAACTATCCGTGTTCATCTGTACACAGACTGCTTTCTTGAAGTTGGGCCAGGTCTGGCCTGCCCTCCCAGCCCATCAGGAGAGAGCCACCCCCCCTACCTAGCTCCTTGCGTAATAGCTTCCTGATGCAGACTGGTGGATCCCCCTTCTGGTGTAAGCCACCCACACTCCTGCTCCTCTGGAGTTCAGCCCCCTCGCTGGCCACCTTGAAGTATCCAGGGGCTATTCCTGAGGGCAGGGCTCCAGGGCCAGGCCGGTGCCTCCTGTGGGTGGCGGGATCTTTTTCCATCCTGACCTAGAGGGGAGGAGGGAGCCACCAGCGTAGCCTCAGACCAAAGGCATCTCTACCAGCTTCTCTCCCCTGTCTCTCCTCCAGCAAAGTGGCCCAGAGCATGCTCAGTCCCCGTTGCTACGGTGCTGCTGTGACATCACAAGTCAGAGCTGAATGCTGAGGGCCATCCCAGAGGTCTCTGCAGGCTCCAGGTTTATTTTGGTTTTTTTTTTTTGAGTGATTTTGTGTTGGCCACTTTCCTGAACTTCATGCCTCACATATGTGTGCTCCTGACGCCCGTGTGGTCTCCCTTTTGGACATCTTCCTTTTCCTTCAGAGATGAGGATGGCAGGGAGGAAAGTCAGGAAAATGAATAAAGGGTTCTGGGGCAGCGTGATTGGATGTACATCCAGGACAATGGGTCAGACTTGCCACCAAGAGGAGGACTTGGTGGAAGATAATTTGGTGATTTAAATTACACTGACATAAGCAGCTGCCTATACAGGGCCACAGCCTGGGTGACTTCAATTGGACAAGTGTCTTCCAGTCGAAGGCTGGAGGGTAAGATCAAGGAGGGGCAAGGCTGGCTTCCCTGCAGCCCCTCTTAGGGTCACAGATGTTATCTTTAAGGTGCTGTCCCTTGAATGGGTGCCTTCATCTCTTCTGTGAAGACACCAGGCACACTGGATTGCGGCTCCCCCTAGTGTCAACATAACATACACCTAACCCCTCAAAGGGGATAAAAGTTTACTCTGGAGCAAGTGACCACTGCCTCAGAGCATATTCAAATGACCCCAAACTCCAAACAGCTAGGAAACTTTCTCTTTTAAATTTATTGTGCACATGGGTGCAGGTGCTGGTATGGTCCAGGAAAGGGTGCTGGGTCCCAGAAGTTGCAGTTACAGCCACTGGGAGCCGTTCAATCTGAGCGCTGGGAACTCTGCCTTGAGCAATCTCCAGTCTCCAGGGCTTTTATATCAGCAGGACGAAGGAAGCCATAAACACAGGTACTTTTCAAATACATTGGTGGAGGCATGAAATAGATGTTACAAAAGCCAAGGGACTCCAGCTTGACCTCAGCTACTCTCTGGCGGTGGCTGCAGCCTTTTGGTTGGGGAAACCAGAGCTTTGTGAATGCATTCCAAAGGGTTGTATCTGTTAATCACAAGTGGCTAGGTCAGACATAGAGGTAGGCAAGGAATGGCTATTAAAGTGTCTAAATCTAGCCCAAGATAAACATTCGAACCTTGCCACAACCACTGGGGCTCTTATCAGTTAACGAGCTATGCAGATGTCCGATGTAAGGTACCATTCTTTCTAGAAACTTTGATTCATGCGAGTGACCTTAATTCAGTTGTATAACTTTCCAAGACCCCCTTCTCAAACACAGTCCGGCCTGAGGTCCCTGGTGTTAGGTCCTCAGCAAACAATGGGGGTGGGCACAACTCGATCTAACGTAGCCCAACAGAAGATCCCTGGTTCACTGTTCAAGTACACAGTCATCTAGAGCTACGATGCTGGGAGGAGGGGCATCCTGGTTCTCCGGGGCTTTTGTTTGAGCCTTCTGAGAATTAAACTGACTCAAGGTATATTTAGCAGGAAAAAAAATTATATGAATTTATTTTCATGGCATGGGACCTGCACTAGTTAGTCTTTGTCACCTTGACACACAAACACATCAGCATTAAGCAATAAGCATTCCTTTGTGGTTTGTCCCCAAGATATTAATATTAATATCACAATAGAAAACACAGTTTAGCTTTTAAACATCCCATGGTCTTCTAACCATTCCAAAAATTTTAAAGTTTGAGTTCTCTTTAAAAATCCAAAGTCTCTTAACTGTGGGCTCATGTATTTTCTTACTCCAAGAAGGAAGAACCAGGCAATTGAAGCCAAGCAAAACCAAAATTAAATAGCTTAGTATCTGATGTCTATGACCCATATAGGATCTTCTGCACCCCAAAGGATTGGCATATCTCTCTCTTCCATGCAGTCTGCCGCTCAGCAGTTTTCCTCCATGGGTTGCTCCTGTTTGAGACTCTGCCCTGACTTCCCAATGATTGGCTCTGCCCCACCTCCCCAATAATTGGCTCTGCCCTGCCTCCCCAATGACTGGTTCTGCTCTGCCTTCCCAATGATTGGTTCTGTTCCTACCTCCCCAATGATTGGTTCTGCTCTGCCTTCCCAATGATTGGTTCTGCTCTGCCTTCCCGATGCATGGTTCTGCTCTACCTTCTCAATGATTGGTTCTGTCTTGCCTTCCCAATGATTGGCTGTGATCAGGATGTAAGTTTGTAGTGAGGAGCTGCGGGCAGGCCTGCTTTTTGCCTCACCCGGCTCCCGCACGGCTAGCTTAGTCCCAGAAATAACAACACATAAATTGTATTCATTTAAGCACTGCCTGGCCCATTATCTCTAGAGAGTTAGTTACTGGCTAACTCTCACATCTTGATTAACCCATTTCTAATAATCTGTGTAGCACCACGAGGTGGTGGCTTACCGGAAAAGATTCAGCATGTCTGACCTGGTGGCTGGCTGCATGGCTTCTGCCTCATAGCCCTCTTTCCAGCATTCTGTTCTGTTTTCTCCGCCTACCTAATTTTCTGTCCTATCAAGGGGCCAAGGCAGTCTCTTTATTGACCAATGAAAATAACACAATAGACAGATAACCCTCCTCCATCATAAGTTGCTCTTGGTTGTGGTGTTTATCACAGTAATAGGAAGCAAACTATGACAAGGCTTCATAAATAATGAAGCTGGAAGTAGTAAAATACTTGGTTTTCTGCTAGCTGGATGGAGAAGCGTGAAGGGTGTTGTGTAGGGTTGGGAAGGGAGACTGCAAGGGCTGGGTCAATGAGGTCTTCATAGAGAGTCCCTCATTCTACCTCAGGGAAGACAAAGCTGCCCTCTTCTTGCTACAGGGGAGATGTTCACTGAGGTTTCTATCTGCAGCCACTGGCTTTTCAAGTGACCTCAAAATCATTCCTTCAGAGCATACAGCTCCCAACAGCCAGCATGGTACATGCACGCAGATCTCCCCACATAGGCATCCCTCTCTCACATCCCAGAATCTCATATTTGGGAGGCTGCAGGTCACCCGGTCCAGTGACCATTGTAGAGATCTAGCATCCAAGGGGTTGGTGGCCATCCTACCCAACTCCAGATGCTCTCCGATGGATGGAGCTCAAGATGAAAGCATGGAGGTAGTTCATGGAGATGCTTTCTCCAGTGACTAACAGACCTTCTGAAAGAAAAGCACAGACATGGCAGAGGTCTCCATCAGAGAGAGCTGTGAAGGGGCTTTGAGCCCAAGAACTCTGGTGTTTCATTGTATCTCCTCCCTGCAGGGACTGGTCTATCCCTGGCTTCCTCGTTATCCCTGGGTTGAACTTTAACCTGACATGATAAAATGTGAACCCCCCCACCCCAATGAGTTGAATCCTAACTAGGCATGCTGGACTGTAAGCTGGGCCTGAGAGAGGCATACCCCAGGGTAAACTGAGTCTTAACTAGGCATGCTTCAGTGTGAGCTGAGTTCTAGTTAGGCACACTCTAGCTTGCGCTGAGTCCTGGCTAGGTATGCCCAAGTGTGAACTGGGCACTAGCTAGGCATGTTCCAGTATGAGCTGGATTGTGAGGTAAGTCCTCTGTCTTTGTATTGTCCAATTCTTTATGGACACTTTGCTTCCGGTTAATCCAGGCTGACAAATGCCTGTGGCCAGGCCAGCAGACACTCCCCATTCATTCCTAGGAGTTCACAGGCAGACAAGAGGCCAAGGAGCAGGGCCACCATCCTTGCTCCACTCCACACTCTTCTGGGGACAGAGGAGGCTGACCACCGACCCATGCCAGTCTACCTTGTCCTGGGAAGCCTTTTGGCTCAAGTTCTTGGCCCCAGTTAGCTGTCAAACTAGGTGCTCTCAAAGTCGAACTCTAGACTTTTCTTATAATGGTTCAAACTCCCAATGGAATTAAAGCCAAATGTAGAGGAGAGGGATGGGAATTAGGTGCTGCAGTGGTGTCGCTTGTTCAGGTGAGGGGCCTGCATGCTGTGCCTCCTCACTCTCTAGGGCTCTAGGAGAGGCAGTGGGGCCTGTGTAGCCACGTAGCACCCATACAGCCTGCTTGTCTGCTGCACACACTTCTGCTATGACCTCAGTGCACCATATCCTTGGAGACAAGGGAGAAATCTGTCTCCTCCTCCCCTAGATGTCTTCAACTACACAGGACCTCCCAGCAGTGCCTAAAGTCATAGGGCGCCAAAAAGCCAGGCCCTCACAGAGTCCTACGTGGACACATGTCAGAGACAACACACACTATCAGAAATGCCACCTGTCACCGCAGAAACCATTTGTCTGGTCTGACCTGTAGGGACCCTCCTGTACACTGTCTCCTTCATGTGAGCCCCTCCGGAAGTCCAAACCACTCCTCAGAAAGAATAAAACATCTGTTTTAATCGACCGATAAAATACATTGCAAATCGTTAGTATCTTATAAACAGAAACATTAAGTTACAAATCCATGTTAAAAACAAGGTCAGTGCAGCCTAACTGCTGTGTCCAAAGTCATTTTTCTTTAATCCTCCATTTCTGTGACAACCGAGGCTGTTACCGTGTTTTCTAGGTGAAGAGTGAACTTCCCAACAAGAACAAAGAGAAACTGGCGCCGGGGTGCGTGGTTGTGTCCTTCGGCAACATCCGCCCACAGAGCGCCTCTCTCTCAGCCTGTGGAGATGCTGTGTGTGGGATGAGGCCCAGCAGCACTGTGGGGCCAAGCTGATGCAGTCTGCCTTGTCTACTTCGGGACCCTCCCACCCGGAATCCAAAGTGTCTCCAGACATTGCCGTGTGTAGCCTGTTTGGGTTCACAGAGACACAGGCACGTGACATACCATGTTTGGCCTTTATTGCTGATGATGCAGCCCGCAACCCAGGTCTCCATCCCTGAGGACCCTTTGGCTTTTGTGAGAAACAAACACCGTTCCCTTTGGAGTTCCCTGGGCCACACCCTTTAATGCATATAGGTGTTGCTGTTCCGCACTGCCTTATATCAAAATGCTATTTAAAAACAGTCCTTTAAAAACATTAAGAAAAACAGCTTGAAAATGCACATTTTAAAAATCTTTCCC